ATATATTTTTTTTATTGAGTATAAGGCTTCAACATCTATGATCATTAGCTATTGGCCTGAAGGTTATTACTTATTTAGTAGGTTTTTAACTGTGGGGCATGGTACGGTTGGTTAGAATACGTGTATAGTTGACGAGGATTTGTTACTAAAACCAGGGTGGTCACCCATCCGGGAACTAGTGACACTGGTTGATGTTTGATCTCAGAACACGTTTCTAACTGAGGCTGCCCACCGCGCTACACCAAGCCACTAAAGTATAATATCATTAGGTAGGTACAATTACATAAATATGATATTATGCAAATAATATTAATTTAACTTAGGTACTATAGCTACCGTATTAATAATAACAATATATATATGGTATAAAATATCCTAAGCTGATAAACCGTTCCCACTCAAAATCGTTTTTCCTATACAATGATATAATTTTATCATCGAATTCAAATTTAACACCATCCATTACATTGACCTACCCCACCTACCGATTTTTTTTTGTACCTATTATACCATAGCAAGAATTTTTTCAATCTACTTTCAATCCAAGGACTTTCTTTGTCCGGCCTTGACGATCTATAGCGATCGGTCGCAAATTAATAAAGATAATAACACGAGCCGGGCGTTCCACTCTGGATCGTTGTATTTGAAAACTTTAGTTTACCGACAACAACTGCGTCAGTGCGTTGTCAATCGCCAAGCATAAAAGTGCGACAAATGTAACAAAATTAAAAAATAATAAATAATTCACCAAGTAAAAAAATACATTCAAGTCGTTAGGTACCAAATTTTAATGTTTAATTTATTTAGTAAAAAAATAACAAATAATTCTAATTGCCGTATATTCGATTTGATTAAAATAACAATCGCCGTTCGGCCAAAACATCAATCATATAAAAAAATAAATGTTAAATAAAAATGTTGTGCCATGAAGAGACTTGACTATTTTTATTATTCAATATTTTTACTAGCACGTATTTAAAATATATTTATTTCATTAATATTTTTATTATGTTTAAATTCGTAAAAATGTCTTAAATATTACCTTAATCCTCTATATTATATTCAACTCAGCATAGGCGTAGCGTTATGAATTTATATAGGGGGCCTATAACCTATTATATTTCTGGTACACAACATACCTACAATCTAAAAATGTAACTAAAAAAAAAATACGAAATGGGGAGCTATAGTCCCCTTAGACCCCCATAATTCTACGTTTATGCAAGTCAGCCCAAAATCGTAGAACAAAGGATCTGGAAATAGCTGGTTCCTGTTATAGGTACTACAATAGGTACTATACTTATAGCTGGTACCTACTACATAAACTTTTCAAATTTAAAAAAAAATTTCTTAAGCCTGCTCAAGGCAAAATTTATACATAAGCAAAATCCAAATTTGTCACCCTTTCGTTTTGAATCTCTCTATTTATAATTTGTCTCATTATCCATACCCTCAAACATAATATATTCAAGTCCACTTCAGGCTTGTCATAGTAACCTAACCTATAAGTTACAAGTTATGATTCACTAAATCATTTTTTAATAGGATAAAGAATGAGAATTTTTTTTAAAAATATATTTAAATAGTTCAAATTTTTGTTGAAATTTACCTAACTTAAAATAATACATTTTCTTTACAGTTTACAACATTTTTAAAAGTGATGATATAGGTACCTACTTAACAAAGAATCCAACATTTTTATTTGTTACCAATATATTATTTAAATTTTTCTAGCTTTTAATGCTGCAAACTCGTGTATTATTTCTTCCATGTCCAATTTGTTTGATATAGGTACCTAACCTTTTCAATTGATAGAGTTACTAGACCAACTAAACGAATTTGACATATTTGGGACCTAAGTAGGTACTTAGTTTTTTATAATTTTAAAAATATTGCATGTGGTCACGACAAAGCGACGGACGAAAAAAAATAATATTATTGTCTATTGATATTAAGCATATCTACACGCTGGACAGTCTAAGAAAGTCTCATTACATTATATAATATGTAGTCGATATCACTATTAGCTTAAGTCAGTGGCGTAGTCAGTGGGGGGGGCTACAGCCCCCCTCACGGAAATCTTAAGAAAATTAAAAAAATTATTTTTAAGGTCTATGATAGTCGCTCAAAAAGTTCGGTAAAAGTTGACCAGCCCCCCGAGAAAAAATTCTGGCTACGCCACTATCTTAAGTCAATAACAAAATATATAATATTATGTAAAAAGCTTCTGCTTATCGGCTATTATACTTTATAGTTTATTCTTTATAATTATTTAATTATACGAAAATATTATTACTTGGTGATTATTAGTACCTACCTACCTATCTATTTACCAAGAAAATTTTTATCAATAATTTTCATTATCGTTTATCGTCGACGGCGGTATGAGATATCCAAATACATATAGCTTTAAATTAATATATAACTTTGTAGAGAAAAAATCAGAATGATCAGAATTTTGATTAAGGTACCTATTGAACAAATCATATTTTTAAAATGCAATAAACCAATTTTTGATTATAACAAATTACTTCAGAACTAAAAAGTAAAAACAATTATTTTTGTATTTGAAGATTTACATACGCAACGAATAAGGCAGTAACTCAATTATCCAAATTTTTATTTTTTATTTTTTATAGGATATCGTTGTACTTCCAGAAAAACAGTGATACCCTATAGAAAAATTGAGTTACTGCCTTATTAGGTTGCGTATGTCGATTTCAAATACTTTACTATTTATAGTAGGTATTTGGATGGTGTTTTAAATACTTTATTTTAAGGGTATTTGAGTAATTACTTAAATAATTTTAAAAAGTATTTTTTACAACACTGAAAATATTTATATACTTATACTTACTACAGTCTATAGGTGGGTAATACCATATGATAATACATAGGTACTTAAAAGGTATAATAATATACAGCCATACAGGGCTCGGGACTTAAAGCATTAGCTTATTTTTTTAGATTGACATAAAATGTAGCAGAGTACTAGGTATAGAAGTGTATGTCATGTTACAACACATTCAATTATGAAATTTGAGAGTGCTTTTTTTTGCTTTTTTCAGTGATTTTTCAAAAAAATGCTTATTTCAAGTTTTTATATTTATTGCTTTTTTGACCAGTTTTCATACTTTTTTATGGTTTTCTACTGCAAAGTTGTTTTTGATATACCCAGTGGCCCGCGGTTTCGCGTAGTTTAATCTCAACATATTTACTGTCCCCCCAAATTATGAAAACAGTTAGGTCATAGGTATATCGGGAAAATGTAAGCACATTTAGGTTAAATAGGTATCAATTAAATTGGAAAACATTATTTTTAAATTCGAGATAACCATAAATTAAGAAGAAGTGCAAATACCATGAAAGATCTACGAGCTTTCATTAACAGGCAGGCGGGTGCTAAAGGAAAAAGGTAGTTTTTGTTATGGACTAAGATAACATAACTAGTCTGTGCAAGGTTTTGACTTTTGTACTATGGCACAAAAATCATGGGATAGACCTATATCAGCAACTATAATTTCTGATTAACACGAAGACACCACAGTCACAATTAGAATTGTCTCAGTCTTGCAAATGGACAACATTGCAAATTTAGGTTTGGCAGTTCAGATTTTGTGATGTTTGATTTTATAATAAAGTGAATCAAATATATTTTTAAACTTAAAGTTGAGAAAATTATCTGAGGCCTCTTTAGTAATTTTAAGGAAATCGTGAGCATTTTTAATTATTATAACTTGCATACTCACTACTCAGTCATACCTCACTTAAAAAATAAATATTGTTAAACAAGAGAATTTTTAGATTATTGTTAAACAAGAGAAATTTTAGATTATTGTTATAAGAAATTACTTATAGTTAAATTATTAAAATATTTAAGCTGTCAAAACAAAAATGGAACTATTAAACATAAATGTTGCTGTTTTGTAATAGTAAGACAGAACAACACATGCAAGTACAACGTTCTCATAATTAATATTGTTTAATATAATATAGTTATAATGAACTTATTATTAGCAGTACCTAGCTAATAGGTAGGTACCAAATATTTTGCAGTTTGTTTTAATTTAAATATACGTAATTAAATAAAAATGATTATCTTATATTATAAAAAGCTATATCAACACATTTTAATATAAAATTTTAGTTGATCATCAGATCATATTATAATCATGTGTTTGTCTGATTCATGTCAAGAATAGATAATAACCAAAAATTGTATTGTTTACAAATCGTTTAAATATTAAGAACAATAATATCACTAGTAGCTATGTGCTGAACAATAGAGTCAACATTTTACTCTAATGTTCAGTTACATGTTAACATTTAAAAAAATAAAATTACAATAGGTTAAAAAACAATCATTAAAAACATTTTTTACAGCCGTACATGATAATGGATACAACCGTGTTTTTAATACATACTATATATTAACTAACATTTAATTTCATATTTTTCAAAAAATATAATAAATCATTAGATAATTATTGTATAATTATTATATAATATATTATGATAATGAAGCTGTCCATTAGTTTATAAGTCTATATAGTTACTAATGATAAAAATAAAACATAAACGATTGAGATTATAATTCCATCAGTATAAAAAATGATTATAGCATACATCCATGACAAATAAAACAAAAATACTAAATGTTATTGTAAAATAAACTATTGTAAATGTTAAAAATATAATGTATATAAAATTGAGAACATTTCTCATATAAATTTATTATATTCCCAATAAATTAGAATGTAAAGCACCTGTTAATTTATAATATAAAAAAAATTGTTGAAAATCAATAAGATTAAAAATGATACTTTACACTTAAAAATGTATAGTTTTTACGAAATTAAATTATGTGTTTGATAAGTCTTCATCAAGTAGGTAGAGCCAGTAAAACGACAAGACTATTGAATGGCTGAGAGAAGAGTGAGGGCACAGTTCGGCAGCGATGATGACGTCGTCGACCAAGAGCGAGCACTCCTAAAAAGTAATTAAGCCGCTTGTAGCTTCTTAAAACCTTTGTGGTCGGCAATGGAGGAGCCCGAATCGCGATTTTGCTCAAAGAAGCAGATGTTCATCTTCGGCACGCCGTTGATCAGGTCGATGCCGAAGAACACGATATTGACCGAATAAGCGGAAACCCCGAACATCAGGGATACGCCGGGTTGGGGCTGTACAAGTTTGTGATCAAGGTACTGATGTGGCTGCGGATTGACCTTTTCTGCGAACCGCAAACACACTTCCAAGTCCAGGACACCGCACGGAGCCACAAACGAGTACCCCTTGGCCGAACAACTGGCGCCGTAGCGCTTGTTGTAAACCATTTCGTCGTCGAACATGTTTTCCGGACGGGACGCGTGCTTCTCATACTCGGCCATCAGAGTGGCTTCATTGACCTGGCCGATAGCCCACAGCGCGTACTGGTCCATGGCGCACCTATCGAGCCCGTAACACTTGCAAAACTCCTCGTCCGCCTTCCACTCGCGCGTCTCGCCGTGCCTGGCTATTTCAGCCACACAATCATCGCGCTTCGCCGACAGCTTCTTTGCCTCCCCCAGGACGTGGTCCACGCAATACTTAACCAGGGCCCGGCCGATCCGTTTCTTTGGCGCGAATATGCGCAGACTATCCAGCAGTTTCACCATGTGCTGGCCGCGCAACACGTATTTCACACTTTCGTGCATAGCGATGTTGTCAACCACGTGCCGCAACAGGTCACCGACGTCCAGATTGGAAGTTTGTTTTTGGTAGCCGTCAAACATACAGCGAATATTTTTCCACGCGAACAACAGATTGGTCGCCGTGAGGTTTTCCGCAAGAAACTTCGTGACACTTTCCAAGAACATAACGAAATGATTTTTGAAGAAGTAAACGGAGTTCCAGACGTATTGACCCAAACAGTAAGGAATTTGTTCAATGGTTTTGTAAATCGGCACCCACACGGTTTGCATGGATATTAGCTAAAAAAAAATAATTCGATTAAGACCCATCATAATATTTATTAAAATATGACAATAAAAACTATAAAGAGTAAAGACTATACTTATTGAAGTCAGTATTCAAAGGTAGGCGAGTCAATTTAAAAAAATAATTTGAGTCAACAAAACTTTGAACACAAAATATGTAACCAATACTATGTAAAAAACAAAAAATATAGTTTAATTACACTTTAGATAAAACTGGACTGGTATCGACTACCTTATCAGTGGTCCTCGAATGTTTTGAAAGCCGCCGTGAGGTACAACTAGGGGTAAAAGTACAACCCATACATATTACATGTGTTATATAAAACACAATGATAATAATAATTGTTCTGTGTAAATTATACCTATATATTAAATATATAATATCAGTTATGTTATTTGTTACTAGGAGCACTTTTATCCCTACTTGTACCTTACAGTGGCCTATTTGGATGGGGGAGTGGCTGGGTCGAACAATTTGAGTATATCTTAGTCCATGGACAAAAATATTTTTTAAAACTAAATTATCAAAATAAACATTTAAAATGTTTGTAAAATATTCCCTTTTAAATTAATACAATAATTGCAAGAAAATATATTAAATAATTAAGGTATACTTTCAGTAATTGGTACTCTCTTTGGTATTACATTATTTTTTCTACTAACACAAACAGTTGTTTATAGAATAAAAATATATAGATAATCCAAACAAGAAAAAATTAATAAGGAATCAAGTAGGCAGGTAGATATAAAAAAAAATTGTTAAACAGTACTGGACAAACAAGCATAGAATGTAACCAAAACAAGCAGCAAAAAAAAGAACATTCAATCCACAACTTACAGCCTTTAAACATCACTTTTAATCAGACATCAATACCCAAATTAAAGTATTTAAAAATAAAATATCAACCCACTAGTCGAACAACAGTCAGAATAAACTATTAACGAGAAACAATTCTCAATGTTCTATCTTTAGCTATAAAAATTTAACATTTGATACATTTTTAACAACTAAATAATTTACAAATTTCTGATTTTGATAAATTTTGAACTTTTAATGTTTATAAAAATATGTCTACAAATAGCTCAAAACAAGACAAAATATTTTAAGTTTTATCATAATATAATATAGAAAATGATAAATAAACATTTAGTGAAAATTTCAAAAATCTACAGTTATTTGTTTTTGAAATTAATGAAAAAAACGAAAATCGTTTGATTATAATTTGTTAATGAATGGGTGAATATCCAATGTTTGAACTTCAAAAGATCATAAAAAATTAATTTCACTTTCCAGTACAACTTTTTTTTTTTAAAGGTAGGAAAACTTATTTAGGATCTTGTATTGATTTTTTTAAATCTTAAATATAAATATAAGAACATTTCTTTCAACTAGAAAATTGTATAGACATAAAAAAAGACCCATCATTCTAAAATACATTCATCTATCCGCAAATGTATTTATAAACATACAAATTCATATGATTTTGGGCTCTATTTAAAAATGTAGATTACTTTGATAGAACACATGTCAATACGTACCGTTAAAATATCTGTTATATAACTTGGAGCCATTAATACTCCTGTAACAATAAACACATCTAAACGTAGTTTCAACACATTTTCCCATGTTATTTTGAAATCGTTATCTATGAAATCCAGACTAGCGCGGAAGACTTCCAATGTACATTGAGTAATACAAGCACTTTTTCGAAAAATAGTAAGAGTCTTGCCAGTTGTTTGAATAGTTGAATTCACCTCTGATGTAATTGCAGCAAGTGCATGAAATGGTGCCATAATAGCACCAATTGCGGAAATCACTGAACCAATCCATTTTTTCCAGGCATTTGTGCCGAATTTATAAACATCATGTTTATACATGTCAATTAGTTGCTGGACATTTCTACCAAATTGGTACGAAGAACAAACTGTTGATAATGCAGAAGCCGCTACTATTAATCCCAAACCAACAGGTGATGCTACAAGAAATATAGAACCACAGGCTAATATTACACCGCCAACAACATTTGATATGCATGCAACTATGTCAACTGTTTTTAAAACTGTTTCAGTTGCTTTGGAAGACGGTGTTATAGTTTGATACAATGTTTTTGAAGCATCATAAAACCCTGAATTAGGATAGAACATAAATCCTGCAGGAAGATTATTATTTTCCATATATTCATCCCAGCCAGTGTATGTTCTACTGTTTTGAAAATCAATAAATATTAATTTATCGCTTATCAATTTTAATCTGAGTAATAACCATTTGTGTATATCTTTTTTAGGAAAATTTTGGCAGGTATCGCACTTATTTTTGCAAATACTATGTGTCATAGTTATACCCACTTGAATTTTACTAAAAAGAGTAGGATTAATATATTTTTCCTCTATTAATTCATATATATCTACAATTTTCTTTTTATATTCTTTTTCATATAACTTAAATAATTTTTCAGAACTAATGTCATCTTCATAATCGTTTTCAGCAATTGCATTACTAAGAGACGGAGGGCCGTAATATATGTGTGCTATAAATAATTTTAGATCATTCTTATGTAATTGTATCCATTCTGGACGTCCGTTGAAATAAGAATATTGCATTTCTTCTAAATGATTCAATAATGCTTGTCCTCTCTAAAAAAAAATAAATAAATAAATAAGTACATTTGTAAATAACAATACAAGTAGCTAAATAAATATATGTGGATAAATAGATTTGATTTGTCTTTATCAAATACATTTTAAAATGTTGCAATATAAAAAATGATGCAATAAGTACTTAATTTCTTTTAATATTTTTTTTAAGTATAGATAATATTTAATTTTTTAGTCTTTTTTTAGCTTTAATGAAAGTAAAAGCCAGTTGGCTATTTGGTAAATAAAATATTAATAAATAAAAATAAAATAGTACAATGACAGTTAAGTATGACTTTATGAGAAATCAAATAGGAAACTTCAAAACTTATTTTCTTAAATAATCTATTAATTAAACATGATAAAATATGATTAAATAAGTGAATATTATATATTTATATTAGTTATTTAACACTTACTTTAAAGTTTTCTTCATGATTTGTGTTGAGACTTATATCCATATTGAAAATCAATCAAATATTTTCACCAACCACAAGTTTATTTCCTGAACATTTTTTAAAAATAATATGAATGTTAATAAATATTAATTTAATATCTTAATATTAAATGGTAAGTAATTATATTAACAATAGGTACAACACTTTAATTCCTTTCAAGTTGTATTAAAAATTTGGGAGAAATGAAAAGTAGAAAGTATAGGATGTACGGACATTGTGCAAGATTTAAAATTAAGTTATATTTGAAATAGAATAATAAATAGTTTTGAATGGGATGAATTTTGCACTAACAAAATGTAATTAACGACAACATTTTTTGCCCAAGTAATTTGAAATAGTTTTAAAATATGTAATGTTTCATACTAATAACTATGTATTTATTTATATTTGGTATTAAAATGTTGCGATCTAAATCATACATAATATACCTATGTAAATAATGGGAAATAAGTTATGATTGAGGGGGGACATAACTTGCAAAAAGTTAGGTACAGTTTAGTTTCAAGTAAACTGAAATAAATAGGTACCAAATAAAAGTAATGGGAAAGAATCAAAATCATTATCATTGTTAGACCTTACCTTGTTGCTACACTAAAAAAAATACATGACATTTTCACTGAATGTTTATATTAGCATTAACCTAACCATAACATTTTCAAAATATTTTGATTTGTTTTGAACTGTTTACAGACATTTTCAGTTTACAATTTTTTTATTTTTATTTTCCATGAATTTCAATAAAACTGTATTTGTTGTGTAAAAAAGCTTGAAAATATAATACAAGGATCCTCATATACTTTTATAATGCCATTTGGAAAATATTAAAAATCCAGTCACATTTTTTTTGTTTCCTAATCATTTAAATTTTGAATCTTGATAAAATATGTAAAAATCAAGATAATGTGCAAATTATTTTATAATTTATATATTTTGAGTCAGAAATTCATAAAAATTTTTCTTTTTAAACCTAAGATTTGAAATGTAATACATTATAAATTACTTTATTCATAATAATATCATAAAATATACTTAGTTATAAGACGTGCTTAACATAGAAAATTGTACGCTCACTGACTACCTACGTTAAGCTTCGTTAGTTAAAAAATTAGAGTGTAATAAAATTTATAAAATTATAAAATTTCCAAACAAATTTTAGTTGTTAACTTAACGCTACACATACTTTTGTTGTCTTTGTCTTACAAGTAACATGGCAAATTGTACGCTCAGCAGTTCACGTTTAGCTCTGTTAGTTTAAAAATTAGAGTGAATTGACATCTATTGAATTTAAATGTAAGATTATAATAGGGCATCTCATAGAATTTTTATTATATTTTAATTTTAAAGCAAGTTAAATTGTAAATTATTTGTCCATCTTAAAATACTCATGACTTGCTTTGAAATTAAAATATAATAAAAATCCTATGAGATGCCCTATAATAATCTTACATTTAAATTTTATAAGAAGTAAATTCACTCTAATTTTAATTTTTAAACTAACAAGGCTAAACGTGATCTGCCGAGTTTACAATTTGCGATGTTACGCTCTTGTAAGACGGAGACAATAAATGTCTGTGTACCTAACATCCTCTTAAGTTGACTACTAAAATTCATTAGGAAATAAAATTATAAATACTTACAGTACATCGGAGAATATTGTAGACTGAGTGATTAAAGGTATTCTAACGAATCCCGAGCACATCAACAAATCAATGTGTAATATAAAATTATCAAATAATTATATTATTAATGGGAAACACTGCAACTGCAAAACATTAAATGTAAAATTCACCAACTTGTATTTAGTATGTATAACTGTCTAGCGTTTCTTCCCGTATAAGGTTTATGTGTACTGATTATAAAACACCGACTAAGATATCTTGACCTGTGGTACCTATGAAGTAATTCAAAAATTCAATCTGAAGTTATCCGTGATAACTGATAGCTAATAGAATGCATTAATAATTAGATATTTTCTTGGTACACACTACATACAATATTGGAAATACACACAAATAACAATAACAAAAAAAAAATAAAGTAAATTAATATACATGAGATAAAATGTAACTTATTTAACCTACGAACGTAGACATAGCAGCTGATATTAAATTATTATAATAAACATCGTAGATTACGATTCATTGATAAGCATAATATTTTATATTACCTATATCGCTTTCACTCCTCGCTGGGCTTAGATCATATACAGCAGTGGTTTTCAAACTGGGTGCCGCGGCACACTGGTGTGCAGGGGCGGATTGGGGAGAGATTTTGGCCCGGGAAAATACAAAGTATACCGGCCCACTTACCAATTTACCAAATATTAAATTTTAGCCAACATAATATTATTATGTATTACTATTTTAACATAACTACACGTTTGGCGAGATATGAAATTTATATAACTTTATTTGTAGTGTATATACATCGATATCAAATTTATTTTTATTTTTGAACAGTTTATGTTTACACATTTATAATAGTCCAAACTCCAAGTACTTATATATAACACAGTAAAAGTGAATAATTTGAATTACTAATGTTACGATTTTTGTATTTAATAAGAAATGTTATTACCTATTCAATAATATTTAATAATGCGTTTTTAGACTTAAATAAAAGCTTATAATTTACTTCCACTTAATATACCTGATAGGTATAAATTAACAGAAATACAGAATCAACAAGCAAAATGTATGTGTATCATTTTATTTTCTAAAAAAATGTTTTACTGTGGTTTATTCATAATAACATATATGTAGGTCCTTAAATTCTAAACAACCAGAAAAATTGTATAGACTTGTTTTTCTTTAGTATTTTTATGTAATATAATATTGAGTAAAATGTTTTGTCTCCGTCTTAGTACAATCTAATAAATTATAGTTCACTATCTGTATTCACCAATCAGCCGAAACGATATAATAATAATATTTAGCTGCTAAATAGTAAATATTATAAAAATTATTGTATACCTACGTAATGTTACTTCCCTATTATTCAATAATTTATAAATTCGCCTAAACGATCGGTTAATTTCTCGCCCAAATGATATATGCTTTACTCAAGTTAATTTTGGGTTATTCGCCCAGGCTGAGATACGATTGAGCATAAAACACATTTTTTGCAACACGATTGAGCATACATTGTCGGCGTATCAAAGGAAATTGAAATACAAAAGAAAACCAACACGTTTGAGCATAAAAAACTCTGCAACGTTGACATTTTCAATATTGAACTGAATTATACAAAAATATTTATTTAATTAATGAAAATAATAAAATGAAAATATTTATAAATCAATAACAGTCTCAATAGTAGTCACATTAGTACAGTATAAAAATCTTTTTGCTAATAATTAAATAATAATAAATTAAATTGATATACCTTGGTATCTGTTTCCAAGTTGGCTTAAATATATTAATAAAGATTCCGTATTCTTACGATTTAAATACTGGTTGTAGGCTTGAATATTAAATTCAATTTTTTTTATTTCTTTAGCGGATTGTAGTTTTAATAAATTATAAAATGTTGGCAACGTGAACGTGGCCACATCGCATAAAATATTCTATGCTCAATCGTGTTGCTAAAAAGGTCTATGCTCAATCGTGCTTTACCGATTCACCCAAACGAATGACGCTCAAATTGTTTACACCCGAAATACGTGTACTACTGTATTACTGTATTAGTATACTGAATTAAAAAGTGTATGAAACAATTTTCGGAAATTTAAACCCTGACTAGTTTTCGATATTACAGTGCTTACTGCTCTGCAAATCAGGTTGACTTTTTCTATTTTCTACTTCCGTCAAGTAAAGTAGACTTTTCCCGAAGTTTGTCGTTATCTAGAGATCACCCAATGTGGTTTTACATAACATATCAAGGGTTGTTTTCGATTTTAACTGTCCTAACTAGTGACCCCGGTATATTATATTTGCTGTTTTTGCTTTTCGAAAAATACTATATTTTTGCTTTCTGTCTCTCATCGTTGTGTCAGCAATCCACCGTAGGTAGATTGCCTACCTGATATACCTACTATTGCATACTGTCCGCAATCTAATTCGTATTATCTTATTTTGAAAAATCGGAAAAAAAATGCAAATTTACTGGGCTGGTACCTAATAGGAATTTAAGAATACATAGTTATTTGAAAATAAGCGGCCCACCGGGAAAACTCCCGAATTCCCGGTGGCCCAATCCGCCCCTGCTGGTGTGCCTCGAGAATTCACTGAGTGTGCCGCGGTCCTTCGGAAAGTTCAACTATTCGTCCAAGAATAAAATTATAAAAATAAAATTAATAAAAATTTGTTAGCCCGTCATTCGTCAAGCACTCATTTCTAATTAAATGTACTTATATAAATATAATTATAATTCAAAATAATTTTGTTCATCTGATTATTTAGTGCAAAAAAAAAAAGGTCTGTGTGCCTTGAAAATTTTTTGTGGAGCACGGTGTGCCGCGTTCAATAAAAGTTTGAAAACCACTGATATACAGTATATGATCTAAGGGGCTGGGACACGACAACCTGTTAAGTTATCGGGCTCTGATTGCTTGCGCTTACATCAATATTATTAATTATAATAATATGCAAAACAACAATTTAAAAATGTTGTCATTGTATAATATATTTTATTATGACTTATTTTGTCATTTATGTGAGAATATGGTTTACATTTTACGTCTTTAATCACTTCGTAATCTGGGTTTCAATTTTTATTTTTATAACATTTTTCTGCTTTCTTAGGTTGGGTTAGATTATTGTTTTCATTCATTCATTATTTATTTGTCAATTTCTCATTTATTTAAGTTAAGTAGGTATTCTATGGTTTACGTAAATGTTACTGACACGGTTCGTTAAATTGTCTTATTAGTCGGTGCCCTGAGGGCCGTACTTAGCACCTCCAAATACTATGTAGGTACGAATAATGCATAGGTATACTAGGACACTGTAATAAATCACAGAACAATGCTAAAATAGTGGCGAACAAATTGTTATCATTGCCCCTCGAGATTGTTATAATAGTTGCCTATTTTACTCCTTAATCTAGTATAAATTCCAGCTTGTTTGACTATCTATTAATTATTATTTATTACCTACTTATATCATTATATTATAATATAATATTGTTTATGGTTTACCATAAATATTATGAAGTTCCTTAGTCCATAATATCGGCAATACTTACAATAGTGTTAATTCTAATTTCTAATAGTAGTAATAAATGTTAATATTGTGAATTACAGTAATAATGGTATCCAACTAATACTTAAAAGTCCGGTAAAAAAAGATTTATAGAAGAATGATAGACCATTCAAAAATAAGATATGAATATTCTGTTTGAACTACTTACGTGGAATCTTGTTTTAAATTTGTAATCCTTAGATATAAAAGTTGAACATTTTATACATTTTTAACTAAAAAATAATTATTCAATTTTAAATTTGATAAATTTTGTCAAAATTCAATCTTTCAATGCTTATAAAAAAAAATTGTGCCAATGTGTTTTTAATATTTTTTAACTGCTATTGTACCAATATATCAGGAGCCTTGAATTAAATGTTTACACTTTTTTGTCCAACAGGTAAAACTTATTTTCATAGAAAAAAAAAATTTAAAAAATTGAAATATGAAATTGTCCGTAAACAGCTCCAAACAAGTCAAAATATTATGAAAATTGTATCAAGTATAAGAATTGATAAAATAAACATTCAGTGAAATTTTCATGTATCTATATATCGTTTTTGAATTACAACAAAATAAGAAAATCGTTACTTGAGAAATCGAGTGAATATCCAATGTTGTAAAAATTTGAATTTCAAACGTTCTTAAAATTTAATTTGACTTTCTAATAGAGATTTTAATTTTTGATAAAGGTACACTAACTAATGAATTATCTTGTATTACATTTTTAAATCTCAGAGTTAAAAAAAAAATTCTTATGAATTCTTAACTAAAAATAATTTGTTGATTTTCGTGATTTTTCCATATTTTGTCAATTTATGCTTATAAAAAAACACTAAGAATAAGGTCTTTTAATTTTTTTCAAATATCATTGTAACAATATAGTAGGAACCTTGTTTTAAATTTTCAAGTATTTTTACTCAACAAATAAAGTTTTATTGACATTCATAGAAAATAAATCTAATAAAATTGGAAAATGAAAATATCCCTAAACAGCTTAAAACAAATCAAAATATTTTGAACATTTTATCGTGTATAGAAAATGGAAATATAAACAACCAGTGAACATTTCATGTGTCTACGGTCATTTGTTTTATAGTAACACCAAAAACCAAAGTTGATTTTGCTTAAAAATTCCCGTTTTTCCTTAATTTTTATTTTGTTTTTCACTGCGCTTTTGATAATTACTTTGAATTTTAAATTTTGACCTCCCCAATGCTCCAACAATATTCACTTTCCCATCGAACAAGATACTGAAGTTGAAAATCGAAGCATTATTCTACTATACTTATCGTGTACAGAGGCACAAAAAAAATAAAAAAAATAAAAAAAACACACATCATTGTAAAATCAATACGTTCATCGTTCCACTAAGAATCTAAAAGCTTATAATATAATAATTGTCTTATTTAATGACATTATGTCATAATATAAAGTTTGAGATTGAAATATTGAAAAACGGAGTCAAATACAGGCTGTAAAATAGTATCATAAATATATCAGTTTAAAAGAAATTATTAAATTTGGTTGATTTTAGAGGACCAGATCATTATTCCCGCAGAGACGCACAGTGTATTTTTGTGGGCAAAATTACATTGGCGCCTTAATATTTTTTTATTTTCTGGTCTGTTTACTTTATCAATGTATAATTCATAGATTGATAAGGTAAATGTCAATAAGTGATAACTGCGGCGTGTAGTCTGTAACAGTTGTTGTAGTCTGTAGTGAGTACCATAATATTGATAAATAAGTAACCTACTGGCTACTGGACACTTGCCGGTGACGGTGACTGGTGAGTACTTACCTAATGTTTAGCATGTAAAGCATGTTCTGTTTTGTTTCGGATTTTCTTGTTTATTCATTAGTCGTTCATCGTTTTCAAGCTTCAAAATTCGAAATTTCGAACACGTTTTAAAAAAATTACATCCACTCGTGACAGTGGACCAGTGGACCTGTGTGTTATACTTCAAACTTCAATAATTGTGTTGCACTTTCAATTTTATATTATATGAGGAGTACAAATAGGTAACACTAACACACTTACTGCTTTTATTATAATTCATAGGTTTAATGTATGCATACACAGCCTACGTATGTACAAGATTTTATTTTAATTTTAAATATCTTTCTGCATTAGGTATACAATTATAGCTCAATAATTTCACGTAAGCAATTCAGCATAAATATTAACTAACATAATAGGTACCAAATATATGAAATCATATTATTATAATGTTAGATACATTTTGCTCTTCACAACCCATTATCATGTAAAATTAGGTTTTTACACATGTTGATTACTGGTTTTCTGTTATTGTTAGTTAGTAACAGAAATGATTTAATGATGAAAAATAGGTACAATAATTGAATTGCTTATTTGTTATTGTCACATAGTTTAAATAGGTAGGTAGGTATGGCAATGTCATAGAAGTAATGCAGAAGTCTCCCCCGGGGTGTCGTCATGATAAAGAAATAGGTAGGTTCTATTTACATGGTACCCATAATTTATATTGAGAACAATAAGAGATACTCAATATTATTATCTATACGTTCCTTCTTAAACTCAAGTATTAAAAACACCATCTACTAAAATTATCTGAAAATAAAATATTAAAATAAGAACATCTCCATTTGTACCACGGTCCATGATACATGTAAAATCATTCTAGTATATTTTACATTAATTAATAAATTAATAAATTAATAATTTTGTTTATTTTATTTCAAGCATAATGATTAAAAATTATTAAAATTGGAATATAATACTGTTGTAGTAAAAACTATTTAAACTTTATTAAATATCTTTAATTCTGTCCATCAATGACACTCGTAATATCTAAATATCTAAATGACATAACTAATACATTAAATATTTACTATGTTTTAATTATTTTTATATAAGTATGAATAATAATAATATAATTAATGAATTATGATAAGTGAATCTTCACAGTATCAAACTATTTATTATTAATGTAATTATTTTATTGGAATAATACATTTCCTTAAAATTATTTTTTTTCCAATAAAATCAAAAATTGATAATTTAAAACTGTTGTGGATTATAATATCTTTTTGTCACATAACGGATGAATCTGTCAAAGTTGTCTTCAGATTTCTTTTTGTTGCAAATCTTAAAATAACATAAATTTGTTTTATCTGTAAAAGTGAATTATGTATTAGGTATAATATAAATCAATAAAATATACAAGATATACTCATAAATATTTTATTCTATACAGGCGTATTATTTCAGTTTTCAGTTGTAGTGCCAAAATGTTTGCATGCTATTTTTAAATCATTACTAGGCCTATAGCTTTGTATAGGTATACCTTTTTGTATACTTTGTATATTAAATAACAACTACTATACTGTACCAGGAAAGAAAATTTCCATGACCCTACCAAAACTCATCTGAATCCAAACCATTCCCTACTTAAAGACACTGGTTATCTAATGTTCGGAACGTTCGGCAACACTTGACACTATAATTTATATATATATATATATATATACAACTTATACTGTTGTGGCACAAAGTGGGGGAAATATGCCTCGGACTGACTGCCATCAGTCTGCATACTTAAAACGTTGATGTTCTCTCCTGGCGCAGAATATAGGATGTCATTTTTAGACTTTTGTTTTTGACATTTTGACATTTTGAAAAGAAATTATAAATTTTTGAGATTTATTTTTAACGTTGTTTAACAATTAGGACATTTTATTCATGTCCTATGGTTGTAATTTCTACAAACAATTACATTGTGCCATCTATAAATTATCTTTTTCATTATTATTTGTCTTTATAATTATTATACATTGCTGTTATACATTTTACCTTAGTAGTTGGTCAATAGTTCAAATATTGGACCACTGCAAAAATGTATTTGAAAATTAAAAAAATGTACAAACTTTATAATACAAATACTGACTCAATATGAAATTTAAAATACATATTGGCACTTTTGTTTTACTTTGGGCAGGTAGAAGAAGGGGTTCCAGAAAAAAGAAGTGACAATGCACACCCCCATGCTCTCCTCAAATGATGCGCCTGATACTATATTATATATAGTGTATTAAAATTCATAACACAATTTATGGCTTATGATTTTTCTTACCACTTTTCTTGTTAAAATGATCAATACTTTTTATATTTTGAAGGTTATCATATATCGATTGCTGTAACTCCTCATTTTTTAATTCATCCTCTGTGAATTTATCAAAATATTTGCCATTTAATGGTGTTAATGCCGATGGTTGATAAAAATCTTTCATTTTCTCTACTTTATCATTCTCTTTAACTGCATGTTGATTATTTATATCCTATTTATAATAACTCAACAAATAAATAAAAAGTAGCAGGTATAATTATTAGTTTATTTTAATTTCATTACTCAGTGTTACCTCTACAAACTGTTTAAATAATGAAATCATATTTTCATTTGACAATTTTGAATCATCACCGATCTCCAATCCAGTTGAACAGATAACAGTAGTTATCAATATTTGCAAGACTATAATTTTCCACCAATTTGTTGCCATATTCTTATCGTCTGTAAATATACAATTTTTATAAGTGTTATTAATTTGTCATTCTTACTTGTATATATTGATACAATAAATTATAGTTATATGTATAATAATTGGAACCTAGTATTCAAATTAATAAAGACAGTCATTAATATTAAATATTATTATAACCTATGCGTAGGACCTAGGTTACCTATTATAATAAATAATATAATTAAATAGTTTTAGATGGGCATGTGGTATTTAAAATAAATGATAAGTAGTCTCGTGAGTTGTTGTTTAGAGTCAAAAATAAAGATGAAATATTCAAAGCAAATTATTTAAAAATTAATTTGGTAGATTTTCAATTTGTCTTTAGTGTAATTTTCATTGGTAAAATTCTGGAAACTGTATATTTTGTATCAAAGTTCAAGTCTAAACAAGAGCTGAGCGCAACAGTTTCTTTACTTAATTCTTCTAATAAATTGGTAGAATATTATGAATTATGATTATGAATTATATTTTCATGCTCTTGCTGGCAGAGGCGGAACTAAGAATTTTTACTCCCGGGGAAAATATTGTAATTACATAGACCATAATCATAGACCAAGATTGAAAATATAATATCATTCCCTAAAATGAGCTTATTATTTTCTTTAGAGTGGATTTTATAAGAAAAAAAAATGTTGAAAAATAATCAAAACCTGTAATTACCTGTCCTGTATAAAAATTAAAAACACTTTTGCTGTTTTGGTTCTATGCGCGTCTTAGCCCTCAATTATAATAGATTTTTATGGTGAAATATAAAATCTTTTATTCTGATTAAGGTACACAATTTAGGTACACATTTCAACACAAATTGAATTTAACTATACAATTTATAAAAGAAAAAATGAAAAAGAAAATATTTAAAATCAAATCTTATTTTTAAACATAAACAAATGTATAACCACCTTGGTAAATATTATAATATATATTATTATAAACTATTAACCTCATTTTTAATATACAGATATAATATATATTATATCATTCTTTAATTGATAATCTTATAACAGTTATTGTGTATGTATCAGAAATTTTAACAAAAACACAGCATCAATAAATGCCTAGGTAGTTACTAGTTACACACTTTCACTCAGAATCTTAATAATCATAGTATATTAGTTGTATATACCTGCAGTAGGTATGCTAATGCCAGTATACTAGTATACTTAGTATACTAATACGAATCTATTCATAATCTTACCATTAACTTTATTTTTTGTTTTTCATTCCTTCAAACGTGGCCATTACCACCCGTATAAACAAATTATGTGAAATAAAAATTATTTCTTAACTTCTAACACCAAGCATTAAATAAAGACCCAAAGAAAATATACACCCACTCAAATTTTACTCCCGGGGATCAATCCCTGGCTTCACCCTCCTAGTTCCGCCACTGCTGGCTGGTCAAATTTCATCGTTCCGATTAAGTTTTAAAGAAGAAATTATAAAACAAATAACGGTATAGTTACTGAATTAACTGTCATAGAGATCCCAACATTAACAACAACATTTTCTCAGATATGTACAGCGTGTATGCTATTTTTGACACTCACTGTAACAGTATTAACAGCGGAACGTTCATTTTCGAGATTAAAATTAATAAAAAAATATTTACGAAGCACTATACTTGAAGAAAAATTAAGTGGACTTGGAATTCCATCTATTGAAAACGATCGAGATCTTCAATTTAACAAAAATAATTAATAATTTTACCAAATAAAAGCACTCAAACAAAATTTGTTATTACTTATTTGTGTGCAATTCTATCTTATTTTGAATGCAATTTCAATTCCAATAAAAATGGATAATACTTGCTGATTTGCATATGATTTTACTATTTTAGAATATAAATATTTACTATAAATTTGAATGTATGTAACTATATTTACCTATATGTAATATGTATACACATTATTAATTAAAAGGGGAAGAGGGCCTTTTTTACTTTTGCACATGGCCCATCTTTTAGATGAACCGCCACTGTGTATATTATAAATCACATATTTACCAATAGATATAATAATTTTTGAGTGATTAATAATATAGACTTATTGTTTATGGGCTATTTTTTTGAAACAGTATACATATTTTAGCTCTAAAAACAAAAGGCTAAATAAGTCAATTGATAACTTTCCTTTCATTACTCTGTATATAATAAGATTATTTGTTCTTTGTTTTAACTTTAAAATCGAGACTTTTATACTATTAATATGTTGTTATTAACTATTGTATAAAATTATTTTATCGATTAAAAAATATTTGGTATTATGCATTTTCAATTACTTTTAAGTTTTAAGGTATATTTTATTATTTCATTTTCATGGAGTATTAAAAAAAATTTGTTTTAAGATGGTTTTATAGTAATAGTTAATAACAAAGTTAAATAAAATAGATAGCAAAAAATTTATCTTTAATCTTATTCTCATTATTTTAGTTTTTTAGTTTATGTCTTCTTTTATAGCTTGAATAGGCTTTCAAATGATATTTATAGATAATAATTTTAAATGTAAATGTGCATATATTATGCACTCAAGTAATAATCACACATTATTATTGTAGATATTAAAAAATTTTGCATATTTATAAGTTAATCATTTATCATAGTACATTTTAGTTATGGATTTAGTTAAATACATCTATGTGAGTGCTGGTTATGTATGATTTGTGGCAAACATTGAAAAGTTAATTTGTTTTTTTTAATGACTTACTTATTTTTTCCTTACAATATTTTTAATTTTGTCCACCTGAGGACTTATTTTTGTCCATTATGACTTGTGAGTATAATCAAATGGTAGAAACAGAAGTTAAGTTAATAGTTTTATATACCTATTTAATGCTTTTTAAATGTTAGATGTAAATTGTATTTAAATTAGTATTCGAGTGAGTTGATGGAAGGTTAGTAAGATGTTGTCATCTAATTGTCCTCAATAAGTTATTCATCATTTAAGTCTTAAAGAACAAACATTTTTTGCGTCCCTTTAATTTTTAAGATTATATACTTTTTTCGTTAGTAGTTTTAATTACTGTTATCTGCATGGTGTAAATATCTGTGGTTTCGATTATTATTTTTTTTAGTAGAAAAAGTATTTTAAGAGTTTAATATAACCTTATATCCCTATCTTTCAAATTACATTTTTTCAGTTGGTCCTTTAACAAGCTATAACAATAGTTTAAAATATAAATTTATTTTTTCAAAGGATCTGAATGTGAATATCTAATATATCAATATGCTTACAATGGTAAAAATTTAACTTATATCAATAAATAAATAATAATATTGAATTCATTATTTTAAAACACTTCTATCTTGAATGTATTCAATAATATTATACTCTAACAATTAATCTAACATAACTTGAATTATCTAGGTAGTAAAGTTGGCAAGACACTAAAATAAATAATACATTTTTTAAAAATTGACTAGATATTTTTGTGGATTAGAGATTCAGATTCTTTAAATTGTTTAAATAAAATACTTTGCTCGCAATGTAATATTAATATTTTTATCTTAGTTTGAACTTTTTTTATTTATGCTTCTACTTAAACATGGTCACATTGCTGGTGTAAGAGTTCAACATACTTGTATGTTCTATTATACTGTTCGCCTTTATTTTAGTTAGTGTTTATAGGTGAGCAGTTTATAATGTGAAACTGCTCTTTTATTTGTATTATTTTTAATTGTACTTAAGTTTATAAAATTAATTTTAAATACCAATTTATTCAAAATATAAAAATTAAAATGGAAGTATGATATAATTTTAATTTTGTTAAACAATTGAATTGAAATACGTTGAATGATTATTTAATTATATTTTCATCCTGCTTGTTTTTTATTCTAATCCTGCTCTGTCAAAAAATTAAAGAAGGATATTAATTTGGAGTTTATTGTTTTTTTATTATGTAACTACGGAAATTGTTAAAAATTAAATCTCCTTAAATTGCTACTGTAGGTACTTATTATAAGGAATGTTTTTTTGTTGGTAGGTAGGTATATAAAATATATGTAGGCTTATTACAAAAATGTAAAGAAGAATAACAAGTTTCGTCTGAAATACACAAATAGGTAGTTTATATAACTTGGTTTGTATACAATGAAAGATTATTAAAATAATAATATTCGGTGCCTTTTTAATTTTATTAAGTTAAGTTTGGCTATTTATTATGTATAACTTCAGTATTTATTAAATATTTGTTTTATTAAAAGAACAGTTTTTCTAATTATTTAACTTAAAAAGTGTCTATCGTATTTTTGTTTGAATTATTGACATATTATTTTCAAATAATTTATAGTATTTATAGGTCTTATAAAAAATGTCTAGGACTATTTCAACTATTACTTTTTTTAATTCGGAAAGGATCCATGAATTTATTTTTTAGTATTACGATGTATGTGCTTCTTTTGTCTGATGTCTACTTTGGGTACAGTGATGATTTAATCTTAAACTTTGAGGTTAACGAATACGTTTCTAAATTACAAGAAAATTTGTGACTAAGGATTTTTAATATTTTTCATCTGCCTTTGAAACAATATACTAGGAGCCTTCTATTAAATTTTCAAGCTTTTTTAACCAACAAATAAAATTTTATTGATATTTTAAAAAAAAACTAAAAAAAAATGGAAACTGAAAATGTCTGTAAAGAGCTCAAAATAAGTCAAAATATTTGGAAAATGTTATGGTGTATAGAAAATACCAATATAAACATTCAGTCAACATTTCATGTACCTACGGTCATTTGTCAAAAACCAAAATCGATTTTCTCGAAAATAGATTTTGCTTAAAAATTCCCGTTTTTCCTTAATTTTTCTTTTGTTTTTCACGGCGCTTTTAAAACTAATGGAAAAAATTAACTTTTGACCCCCCAAAGTACCAACTAGATTCACTTTCCTATCAGAAAAGATACTGTTGAAGAAAATCCAAGCACTTTTACTGTCCTAAAAGGTGATGACAGACACAAAAAAAAAAATTAAAAAAAAAAACACATCA